TCCGTGGCAGGCATATTTTTCGGGGGGGGGGGGGGGGGGGAGTTCTTGCTGAGACACGCCTAACAGGGGAACTCCGTGGAGTTGGATCGTAAATTCTCGTACTGGGTTTTCAGGTTATGAAGTTTCCCTCGGATTAAGAACTTGAGGGTTGCGTCCTGGGGGCCTTGATTAACGCTAATCGTACCCCCTCTTCAGCAGCAACAGGCTCGAGGTGCATTGTAAACGGATTCTTCGCGGGGGTGTCCCAAAGGGTGATTTTTGGATGGTTGGAAGTTGATGTCAGCTATGGAGGATAATATGTTGGGTATGTCACTCTTGTGGTTTTCTTCGGAGTAGTCCATTGTTTGGATGGTGAGTTCTTAAAACAAATAGTATTTTATATTTGGGAGTATCTTAAAATCGAAATTAATTCTAGTCGTGGTAACAGAGTAGTTTATAAGTACCGATACTATAAGCTAAATATATATTATAAATATATAATTATTTTACTATTATGGTGAAATATACACCATATAAACATACCAATTTAAAACAGTTTGACATCCATTGTATACGAATACAAAATTATTTTACTATTATGAAAATATACACCAAATAAACATGGCAATTTAAAACAGTTTGACGTGCATTGTATATGAATATAATGTATCTTCCAAGCAGAATGTTTACATGAATTGAAATTATAAAATAATACACATTATATAAACGTGTTCAACCTGAACAATCATCTTTAAATAGACCACTTAAAAATAATCTTACCCCCAATAAAAAAATATACAATATAAATGCTATACAAATTTCTAATACATTTATATAAATCCTACCACGTACATTTCCCATGACTACTTCAAATTGTACGTAATCAAAATTCAAAGTTGAATTTAATCTCCTGACAATTACCAACAAGTTGGCCAGCTGAGATGTCTGAGAAGTAGTGGACAAGTAGTGCGAAATTAATTATCACGGATACGCATTTATTGACTCTCGTCACTTACTTTCGAGTTGACGTTCCTTTCCCTTGCCGAGGGGCCTGGATCGCGTGCTGGGAATCGTCACTTGGTGGTCTGAGGACAACATATGGTTTGGTGCCGTAGACTCTATGGAATACTCGGTACTATGCCGGCGCGATCAACGATACCTTCGTCTTCGGGCAATTTGAATCAACCGAGGGATCAGGTGCTTTCCCATAGTCGTAAATGGAATTCTCTGTGATATGTCACCGCCTGACGCCGAATGGTCGCAGCATGAATCACTGGAAGGCGGGAAACGGTCAAATATCTGCTTTCACCTGCAATCGGGCATACAGTTCGTTGATTATTATTAATTCTCATTTTTAATGAGAAAGAATTTATATTAGAGACTCGAGTTAGGTAACCATCCCTTTTCAGTGTTTAGATTTATGTGGTTGACTTGTAGTCTTTTGATAAAAATAAAAATTTCCACACTTTTCCCACTATACCTGCATGATTGTATTGGAATTCAATTGGGGAGGTCTTCCTGATTAAAACGAGTACAAACACGACTATGCTCGGATTACTTTGTGTTATGCGTGAAACAAACACTTGTAAATTTCGGAAATATGAGTGCCTCCGAATATGGCCGTGTCTGTACTCATTTTAATCGTAGAAATCTCGCCAATCCATTAATAACACTTTCGTGAAGATATCATGAGAAATATCCAACACCCTAGCTTTTCAAGTGAAATGGCTACTTGCGAATACTAGTGCACGTAATACTATTGCAAGACTAGTATTGTCTGATAGTAAATCTTCGTTAATTATAAAATAATTATAAAATTTGAATTCCATCAACAATTTCTTCCACTGGCCAAAGTATACATGCGCTCGTTAAGTATAGGTTAAGGCGGATTCGCGTATTCTCGGCTATTTGTCAAATATCCAGGCAAATAGTCGAACACACGAGCATGGCACTTGCCCAACGCTGTCAGTCCACATGTTCGGCTATTTGTCCAGCGTCGGACAAGTAGGCGAATAAGTGGAGCAGCCTTTAGACGAAACCTGCACGTTTGCAGCTCGCGTCGAATGCACCTTGCGACCGGCCCACTCGTAAGCGGCTGCACTCGCGAGCGCACGTTACAGTCGCATGTGTATTATTTACCGTGGCTGGTGGAGGCACCTGCGACCACCTAACCATCTTATTCCCTCTTTCCTTCTTTGACTGTCCTACGATGGCGATCGTAAACTTCAGACCACGCGCCCACTCGTCTGCGCGAACAGGTTTCACCCGTGTTGCGATTCCTCTGCCTCCTGCTTCATCCCCCTGACCCTTCTACTTCTTCCTTTTGGATGCTTGGTGGATAATCCTCCGTATGCAAAAGGATACAGACTATTTTGTGGTGGGAGGCGTTGAGTTTAACAGAAGTCCTGGGTGATAGCGTTCTCCATGATTGTTAGTGTTGCACTATAATTGGGGGAGGAATTTTAAATTAATTGGTGAAATAAATGAGAAAAGTGGGAAGAGATTATTAAATTAGGTGAGTTACTTTTAGAGTCACCTAATCATTCTTATTTCGTATACATGAACATGTTATTAGGTTGTTCCAAAAGTTTCTTTCGTTTTATTAATAAGTAATACATGCACAATATTTGATGTTTTATGTTACATTACTGAATTCTGCACGATTCATTTTGCTCCATTACTGTTACAACATGAATATCTATGAAATTAGATTGTCTATTTATAGAAACACGACCACAGAAAATAATTGAGTGCAACTCGCGAAAGAAACTTTCGGGACAACCTAATACATAATTTGATATAAAAGTATTTCATATAAAAATATAAGTTTTATTTATATGTGTAATTGAACTGCTCTTAACTGTACATAGCTATTTTTCCTTATATCTTAACACAATTCGTTATATAATTTATTCTGTTATGAATTTGTTTCTGTTATCAATTTGTTTATCATATATTGTAGAAAAAATGTATCTAGGTATTACCAACAACTGTCATTTGCCTCCTACGTCTACTATGTATCTACTTTCATCTACGAAAAATTTGTTAGAATAATAGACGGAAAACAATCAGTCGCACACATCGGTGGTCGCCACTCGTATCAGAAACGAAGACCGCGTTTCCGAAAGGGGTCAGCGAGCAGACGTGTGACGAACGTCATACCCTGGAAAACGCGTGTCGCTGCAGCCCGTTTCAATTTTTTTCTTTCTTTTTTTTTTTATTCCACGGTCGGGGGATCGCGGCGGGAAAAACAATCCAGGATAATTGCACCGTTCGAGTCCTGTCGTCGCGAGCGATCAGTCAAGCCCCATCGATGCCGATGAAATTATCAGAAATAAAAACGAGAACCAAGAGGATTCCCCAACGCCGAAAGGAATATTCCCTTCTATCTGCGGTTTCGATTCAATTTCGTCGGATCGACGGTCGCGTAGCGCGCGTAAGCGGGAAGATGCTGCGTTGAAGAAAAAAAAAAGAAGAAAAATAATAATGATAATGGGGAAAAAGCGGCCACCCGAGGGCAAGGGGAGGAAAAAAGTGCACGTGGAAGGGGAGAGGGTTCCATCCCCTCCGGCCGCGGGCTTCCGCGCACAAGGGTTGCCCCGTTGTCTGCCATATGGCCCCTCTTTTTGCGTCACCCCTGTACGGCTTTCTTCCCACACGACAAAGGTAGCCACCCACGTGTGCGTGCACGTGCGTGTTTTACAGCTGTACGTGGGTCAGCGTGGCTCGGAAAGTGAACAATCTTCGTTAAAACAAAAGTGAACAGCGAACAGAGCCGCGAAGTCAGGTGAACGCTCTCTCCTATCTCTTTCGATTGGCGAACGCTGGATCGCCACCTTTCTTCGACACTTTCCCCGAGCGAGTGGATCACGGATGAATGATCGTTTTCGCCGGGTCGAATTTCTAGCTACTCGGTTTGCAGCTACGTTTCGACTCTAGGAAGGTTTGCGAGTAGTGGATCTTATTAGGTGGTCAGTTAGGGGACTAGGTTACATACTTACATAAGCTAAGAAGTGATAGTTTGATGAGGATGGCTTGTTACCGATGGTTTTGTTTCGTCTAGTTCAGATCTATAAGTTGGAGTCGATGAAGAATGAGGATCCTGGTTTAATAGTGACACTATTAATCCTTTGAGTAATTATGTTGTAAAAGTCTTCTGTATAGTTAAACCTTAAAATATTCATTGCTGCAGAGAGAAAGTACTGGAAGTCTCTAAACCATGAATGATCCAATGATCCTGGTCTATTGGAATAGTTCTACTAATGTAAATAAAATTGATTAAAGGAAAATTCGATTTTCTGTCTGACATTGCAATCAAATATTTCTTCAACGAATTTCTATTCCTTATGATTAAAACACGAGTATAACTCTTTTATAAGTTTGTCCACTCTCCGCAACAATTCATTTCAATTCACATTGAACCGAATACGTTCAATAGGAAGGTACATATTTGTCAGTTTTGCTTATATTTCAATTACTATTCAATCATTTCAATTACCATTTCAATTATTTCAATTATTTCAATTATCGTGATTGAGCTCCTCTTCCATTCAAAGGACATTTAGGACCGGGAGGGTTAAATAGATTCGTTGGGTCCCCGCGCCTCTTAAAAATAGCACCATCCCTCAATCGAAGGTATTTATTTGACGAGAAAGAGCTGGAAGGAAGAAGACTCGATTCCGTTCGTTCTGACACGAGCCGCTGCATCCGGCGTGTTCTCTCGGACCAATTAAGGCGTCCGTAGTCCCCTCAAGGGCTGAAATATCGCAACTTCGTTCCCGATCTCTTTATTTCCACAGGCCGACGCTAAGAAGCCAACTACATTTCCGTTTCTCTTCGTGCTCCGTCTCTCACGATTTTCCATCCGTTTCCCCTCTTCGCCTTCTGTCTTCTTTCCCGTCTCTTTTCCTCTCCGCAGTTCCTGAGCGCTCGGGGTGCCGGGACCCTTCGTTTAGGGCACCGCAGATGCCGTGCGCCCTACTAGATTACGCCATAGCGGTTCTCAACCGAAGAACCGACGACATTGTGGTAGAACAATGGCAGAGGTAAATAAGACGTGCACAAAGAGTCGATGCAAGCTATTGCGAGGACTCTAGGATATTGTTTTTTTTTAATTAAACACTAGTGGAGTGGAATGTACTCGATTTTTTTATTTTAAGTGAAAGTATACGTGGTTATATTTAAGTCTGATATAATTATGTTAACGGAAAGTATTTTGTTACTAAAAACTTGTAGGGTTCATTTTAACACTTTACCGACCGATAGCGTTTGGACATATATGTACTTAAATTCAATAATATTGTGTATTTTCATAACATTAGTGTTATATTATATTATATTATATTATATTATATTATATTATATTTATATAATATTTCATAATCCACATATTAATGGAAGCATACAATGGGATCGTGCTATCTCAGTAATAAATAAGAAAGTATTGTTTGCCATAGAAAAGAGACGATTAATAGGCTACCGGTCGGTAAAGTGTCAAGTCCTTTAGATTTATAACATTGTCTTAATAGATACACTTGTCTTAATAAATAAAACCAACACTTAGTAATTTATTCATGAGGTCTATTTAGCTCACCAATTAAATTTAAGTTCCTTCCTCTTGTAACATTCAATTTTGTTGTTTATCGAATAAACAGTTGTTTATATTCTGTTCGTAATTTAAAATTTTCCATTTAAATAAGAATCTCGTCCATCTCTGTTCTCAACCCACCTAGTTGGTCCCTCTGGGGGTAGAATGACCGATTTCCTGATCGTGCCGACAAAGCACAGCTGCGAGGGGTTCTGAGAACCGCTTGCACGGGGGAAACAACCCTCCCTTTTCGGAGACCTTCCTTTATTCATCCCCTAATGTAGGACCGACCGGCGCCGTAGGTTCTTCTACGGTATATAGGGTAGTGTATTTATCGTGAAGGTTGTACATACGATGTGCACGTCTACACAAGAGTTTCTGTGTACGTGTAACCGTACGTTTAATCGCAGTTCAAAATAAAATACAGCGCATCTTTTTCTACTTTCCATTCTTTCGTTATTAATTAATGTTCCTCGCGAGCAAAAAATGAACTTTATTATAATATTTCACAGATCAAATCCTAGAATTAAACACGTATATTTGCCAGGCGATAGCATTGTTTTCAATCGAATCTACATCTCACAATCACCTTCGGGATCACTGGAAATATGAATCACCGCGTTTTGATAGATTGATAACGGGAGAGAATGGAGCCCTACTTGTTGAACTCCGTTTAAATTAGGCGAACTGTCCCATCGGGGATCTACTCTCCCTTGCATTCCCCCAAGTATGCTACCCTTCGTTAATTAAAATTAGGAATCAGAAATCTCATATACTTTACACACCACAAAAAGAAGATATGTGTATATTAGGTTGTCCTGAAAGTTTCTTTCGCGAGTTGCACTCAATTATTTTCTGTGGTCGTGTTTCTATAAATAGACAATCTAATTTCATAGATATTCATGTTGTAACAGTAATGGAGCAAAATGAATCGTGCACAATTCAGTAATGTAACATAAAACATCAAATATTGTGCATGTATTACTTATTAATAAAGCGAAAGAAACTTTTGGGACAACCTAATACATATATACACACGTATGCAAACATCTTCTGCGGTAAACGGAGAAATAAGATTTAATATAATATTGTATTACTAATAATAAATAGCAAATATTCGTTTAATTTTGGGGGGGGGGATGTTTTTCTTTGTATAGAACTCTCGTACATGTCGTTATGTGTATATTCGCGTGGAACATATTTATTGTAACAGCTCGACCGTGGCACACAATTACCCATGCGCATACTAGTCGCTGCATTTTGCGGTTGCAAATGTTGCATTGCGGCGCACTGGTATAAACACTAACACGCAATAACAAATACTTCAAGTAAACAAATAGCCCAAAGCCATAATGGTATTAGAAACGATAGAACAATGAATTTAAATCTATAAATAGATAGTAAAGTATAATGAATGTTTTCTCCAGTGAAAATTATATTAAAATTATAAAATTCACAATTCGATGGAAAGATATACAATATCATGGATTAATCATAATTAGACTGCGGATCTTTATGCATTTATAGGAAATTTGAACGTGCAAGAAACTACAAAATGCAAACAATATGTAAAAATATAAAAAAACATTGAAAGTTCGTGTTGTAATATTTGTAGAATAAAATAAATTCATATTTAGGTTCAGTTTTTGTAGGCACGTTCGCGAAAATTTTATTTTGTATAAAGATCCGCAGTCCAATCATAACAAATGAAGGAACAAGTAGCTTCTAAAGGAATTCATTCTAAATTTACGAATTCGAGTGTATGAAACTATATACATGTAAAAAGAATATACCAATTTTTTGTTTAAATTGGGAATACGAATTTGAAATTTGAAAGAGGCGGTTGCGTCAGGAAGCGCGCGCCGTCGAATTTTTTGAAGTCCGCGACGAGCGCAACACGCGAGTCCTTGAAGCCTAACTGGCTGCTCCCCGGCAATCTTATCCGCTCGACGAGATAGCGCGGCGCTAATCTGCCGCGGACTTTACACCGTTAAAGCCAAGCGTTCAGCTTCCAGGATCGCGAGCCGCGAAAACGCTCCGAGAAATTTCATCGCGAGACGACGTTCTTGCGTCACGTTGCGAAATGAAATTCGACAGTTACGTAATTCACCATCGATTTCGTAAAATTTTCCTCGTGCGAAACGCATAAACGAACGGTGATTACAATTTTCATAGATCATGTCGAAAAAAGTACACAAACAAAGACGAATATGTACTTTATTGTACCTTACCCTAAAATCGTTTTATATTACTTGACAAAATTAAAAAATACGACTATATAAAAATAAGTGAGATAGTTCAGTCAATATGACGAGGACAGAATAACAGAAGACGCAGAAGCTGAGAATAGGGAAAAATTCTATTTAACTTTTCAAAAAATTGCAGAAAATAGTTTAATTATTCCTAGACTGATTTTGCTCAGATGAGCAAAGAAGAAAAGATTGGATGATAAAGTACCCTCTGCATATGCAATTCTTACGTAATTTGAATCCATCGATATCTTACAAGAAATCGTGCACTTTCATCATGGAACAGTATGGCAGAGCATGATACCTATAAATAATACTTTACCTGCGTCAGTGATAAGTAGATGAATAAAAACTAGCTCTATTGAACAGCATTACTCGACTGGAAAGTAATACGCACGATGCTCGTCGTGTTCAAATGCAAGATTTTCCGGCAACAATAATACATTTGAATAAAAAAATCCGCAAGAGAGCATAAACGCGTGAATCATCGATTAAAAACATTCCACAGGGTAAATGTCATTTATTAACCTTCTATTTCAATTATCTTTACTATATACAAAAATAGAAATAAAAAACAAAGTACTTCAAATTTTATTATAATAAAATTACAGTTTAACAAATTTAATATTAATTAGTACAAATTAAATAATACTAATAATAATACTAATACTTTAATACTATAATAAATTTACTATATTATTTAGTCCAACTATTTTAAGTAAAGTACATCTTGGAAGACCACTCAAGATGATAGTACGCCATACAAAAATGTTTTTTAAACTAGGCTAATTGCACAGATACAAAAATTGCGCGACGAACCACGGGAACATGTTGAATAAATTATTTAAAAATTCCCGTCGGAATTACGCTCGATAATCTTAACACGGTGGCCTGTATCGTACGCGTTATTGTTTTTTGGCCCGATAGCGTCGTGCGCGACGTCGTTTCATAGTTGGCGATCTCGCCGGCAGGCGTCGCGTCGATCGAGTCCCCTTTCGAAAATAACACACGGCCGGTTGACGTCATGTTGTCATGACTGCCGACTGCCGGCATCAACGTCGCTTCGACGTCGTTCGTGCTGTGCCGAGCGGCGCAGAAAATTCCCACCGATACCACTCGTTTGCATTCACACGCTACACAGTTGCAAATTCAACGCGAACTTAGGTTAGGACTATTCGTGGCGAGTCATGCGACGAGTCACTACGTCACAGAGATGATACAGTCCGAATTTTTTAGAAAATCGATTTATCTGAAGCTATTGCAAGGCATTGTCGATAATAAAATTATTGCTTGATTTATTGGGTAATTTACACATGGTTTTCGAGGAAGAATGGACACTTTCTATATATATATTTATATCTAGGGATATTTAGAATCTAAATACTTAGAGGGATCCCTGAAAGCATAATATGTATATACTTCTGATGAGAAGTCATAGAGACTTCATCAGTTGTAGGTAAAATATGAAATAAAATAATTTGAATAATGGAACTTTTTATGTGCTTAGAATATTCCCAGTTGTTCACAAAATAAAATTGTTAAAATTGAATGCATTACTACTGATATTTCTGTATTTATAATAATCAGAAATGCTACGTATTGTCAACATCTAGGAAATTGATTTTTCGAAGTCTACTATAGTGACTTCGATTCTACCATTAATTTTTCACGGAAATCGAGCATACATCCCCAATATGCTGATACTCGCGAACAATAGCGTGGAGGTACAGTATCGCGAAGTCGCTACGCCACTCGACTTTCCTCGTATCGTTATCTCTTTCTTCCTTCTCCTTTTTTTTGCATTCGAACTTTGAATGCGTTGAATCTTCGTATTCTGTTTTTTCCACCGCTCGACTTCGGAACTCTGACCGAGTTGCTCGTGTCCCCGCAGTTGTACGACCGAATTATTGAACTAACCTCCAAAGCAACTAGTGTCTTCGACCGTTTTATATACAATATATATATATTTTTTTTTGTTTCTCTCTTTTTTTGGACACGTATAATTATCAGCATTGCCAACAATTTTCAAATAATCGAATTGAAAACGTGGGATCCAAATATTCGATCTTATACGACCGTATGGATGTATTCGCGCACGGTTAGCGTACACGCATATAGCTTAGGAATGTACGACGCCATACAGTCGCTGGTTTTATCTACGGGGCTCCAACTGGCTCGAGCACGGCTTCGTGTGTGTTCGTTCGCTGGCTGGCTAGATAGCTTTGACTCGTGTAGCAAACATTACCTCATCGTCAGGCATAGCCGGATCCACCGCGAACCTTCTCTACTTTTGATTCTTTTCTCGTGCTTCGCCACTGCTCGTGACGAGTTAAACGAAACCGAACACGCGCTATATAAAACATTTTTACCAATCACGGTTAGAAAAATATTTACCTTCAAACCGAATCTCGTCTAACACGCAAATAAAGATACTCGACTCGTGAAAATGAAATGTATTTTAAATATAGAAGCAACATTTTTTAAAAAGAAAAATAAATGTTATGACTACAGTGTACAGTAAAGGAATATAAATATAATATAAATATTTTAAATGCAATAAATGAATATCATGACTACAGTATATAGATATTTTAATGAATATAAATATAAAATAAACGTTTTATTGTGCACATAGATTTTTTTCCCTGTAGATACTTTATATTTGATTTTCGGGACATTTAAAAGTTTTTTCTAACGGTGGACAGAATTTTCCTTGCTTTTATGAAGAATGACGCAAAAGCTAGCTTTGTTAATCTTCTCGAGCGTACAGTACAGCTCGTCCAGATAGGCTTCACGCGGTGAACATTATCTTATTGCGGGCGCAGTCGTCATGAATCTTTTCTAGTTCTAGTACTTCTCTCACGTTCATTCCATTGACCCACATACCCGACGATAAACCAGGAATTGGGGCGATTTTGTTTATAGAAATTCTCTGCCATGAAATTATACGTTTCGTCCACGTGACACATTTATTGTGACGTTTCACTCTGGGCGCAATTTCGCAAAAGTAAATTTGAAATACGGTGGTATGTTAGTATCCTATGAGTCTTATAATTGATGATGTATTCAACACAAGCGTTTCAAGTTTTTGTACGACTTGTAATGTTTTGTTTTCCTTCTAACCGACTTATCTAGCTGTTTTTTTACAGCTTTACATATTTCTGTAAGAGTAGTTACATACATAAAATGAATCCAGTGATAATTTCCAATGTATAAATATATATTTCTTTAAAACAATTTGCTTTGATCCAACTTAAGGGGTTCACTAAAAGTTTTTCTCCGAAAGGAAGTACAAAATGCTAAAGGATTGGAAGAGATCTCAACTATTCTCAAGCGATGAAGCGTACGAAACCCGTGCATTCTTTAACGGAGAACAATTTTCATCGATGCGATTGAGTTGCTTGAAACGGCAGCGCGAAAAGTCTAGAGAGGGTGAAACGAACGAAAGCGTGCTTCCTCTTTGAATCAGTGCCACGATCCTAAGTAAGGCGAGGTTCAAAAGATTCTTGGACAGAGAGTTGGGCAAACCGCAACCCCTGAAAAATTTCGCGTGAGAAACAGAGAGAGTGGCGGAACGGGGCGCGCTTCGTGACTTTGATTTATGGGCAGTTAAGAACCGTGCATTTCTGCCACACACAGCTAATCCGTTACGCGGGTAACCCCCTGCAGCAACCACCCGGTGGTCGTCTCGATTCAACAAGTGCCCGGACCATGTTTCGCAAACATCATTCGCAGACGACGGGAAATTCTCGACCACGACGAGTGAAGTCTTCATCTCCCGCGTTGTGGCTATATAGATACCCACTTTCTTTTTAATCGATAATCATTGACGTAGCAAAGCAAACGCTGCTCTAATTTAGCGTTGGTCCTAGTGATTTTAATGAAAGTATAAACTTACTATGAATATATTAATGCATAAGTTTTGGTATATGATTCTTAAGACTCGTGACAATATTCCATTCTCAGTTAGGTCGATTATTTTAGTTTTAATTCCAACAGAAACTACCCCATAGCTACAAATATTCCACAAATTAATAATTTAATCCAAACGTGGAGACCAAACCGATAACAGTTACTCTTACGGAGAAAGTATCCGTCGACAAGGTAGTCCGGCTCGATTGGTAAAACAGGTCCACCCAGCGGACACAAACTCGGATAGTCTCTAATCTAACCTAGACCTCGTCGCCCACATATGAATTCGAATTTCAGCGAATATTCACGTATTAGGGCGAAGTGCATCATCGTTTTTCCGCGACAAATAAGGGCAAGCATCGGGAAAGCTTCGATCGTTTAAAAAAAGAAGTACTTTCCTAAGGAAACTGCGTTTTCACCGTGATGGAAGGCGAAACCAAGCTCGCGGATCTGATCCGTCATTGTTTTCCCCACGATTCCGCGAATCGACTCTCTGAGAGCTTCGGGACTGGTCGACCCTGTTGGAAGGAGAACCTTCGCGAGCGAGTCGTATTCCAAGTAGGCCGCCGTGGCGGATGTACACTGCCGAGTTGAGATTGAGTCGTTGGCTGCTGGCTCTGCTACCGTGTTGCAAGTCATTTTCAAGAAGATATTCTTCTACTACCCAAAACTTTAGTAGAAATTGATTTAAGAAGTTTAATCTAATACATTTGTAACAAATACGTTTATATTCAATAGAATATTTTTATAACGAATACTCTAACCTTAAATCTCGATGCTTAACACATTATCTAACACCTTTTGCAAGGAAATATACATCTTAAATTCGTGTGAAACTTAATGTGAAATTATCCTCTCTGCCACGACAAGCCCAGAACTTAATCTTTTAAGTCTACGTGAGGCTTAAGATTCTCTCAAGCGAGAAGGACCGCCACCTACTGGTCAGTTCGATAATCAGCGCGATCATAACCTGAAAAAGCCTCCCATGTTTCATTTTTCCAGCAGAGTGTGCATTGTGCTGTACAAGATTCATTTAAATAGAAACCTTTTCATTAGGTAACGTTAAGTTCTATTGCCGTAGCAAGACGACGCGTTTGTTTTGCCGCACGCGTATCGTGAGCGCTCGGTATCGTCTCCGATGGCATTGCTCGTTTCCTCGGAACTTTTTTCCCCTCTCCTGTCTTGCCAGTTGCACACGCCGCTCTTCGACTTCGCTGTTAACAACGTAACGCATCGATTATCTGTTTAAATGACGTCGAAGCCGCCGTGCGCCTCCTACCGCGGTTTCCAACTTTCCGCGGCTCCTTCCATTTCTGCTTTTTCTTTCAGTCTTTTTTTCTCTCCTTCTTCTCTCGTCTTTTTCGCGAAATCAAACCGAACGTCATGTGCTGACCACGTGTATGCGACGAAACGACGAACGCGTCGGTGGTGACATCTCGCGGCGTTTCACGCAACCAACCGCGCGCTGTCAGCGGTTCTCATACGCAGAGGAGATTTTTACCTTTCAAATTTTCTCCGATATCCCCCTTCTTTCTCTTCGCCCCCTCGGGGCTCGCTCGAGCAAGCAAGGCTGGAAGGAGGAGCGATTATTTACTTACTTTCACTCGCACGGTCGCCGAATCGGACTCCCGCGGACGTAAATCATCGATGTCCACGTGGGATCTAATAGATTCATTACGTTTTAGCGAGCTTGCTTATCGCTTTTTATCGATGTTCGTAGGAAGATCGTGTTAGAGGTTATTCGTTGACCAAAGTTGAACTGTTCTCCATTGATTTATGGCTATTCGTGTGTTACCATTTTCCAACATGGCGGGGGATAGGATTCCAAGCGTAGAAACTTCTGACAAATTTACGTGTAATAATATTGTTTTAATATTGTTTAAATAACATAGATTATGTAATATTATCGATCTTTATATTTCATTTCATGTGTAAATACCTACATGAACGTTGAATAAGTTTGAAATTTGGTACCTCGAATTTTCCACTTATCTCGAAACGAATTGTAATTGGGTGGAGGAAAAATAAGAGAGACGGAAGGAAAATGAAGAGCATTTCACAAGGGGCCCGCATGCTTGCTGATTGAGCCCATGAGTAACAACACTCCTCTGTCCCCCCATCTCTGCCTATGCCCACTCGATCATCCATTCCGACGATGACTTCTTTCAGTTCGGGGTAGGGAGACGCCTGACGTCATTCTCGAACGTCTGTCAGCGAGCCGACCCTCTGAGTCATGTCGTTTTGCCTACTCTCCCGCTTGTAATAGAGTATCGAGACTCGGCGAGATCTTTCGCTGGCATGTCGCTAAAACGCCCTCTAGTTCCTTCGGTTTATCTTTCTCATGACTCCAGTAATTATTTCTTTATTAAGTAAAACTAAACGAGGAAGCCTCCATTTCCAAAGCATTCGATAAATATTCTTTTAAAAATAATCAAGAGTTTCTTTCCTTCCAACAAGTTACTTCGACTTCATTACTTCCTTCTCCAGTTCTACAAGTTATTGAAGTTAACCAATGTCTTCTGCAAAATCAGAATTTGCCTCTGACTAATCGCGTTCTTGATCTATTTTCAGAGTTGTGCAATGATGGGTCTGCAGGCCACGGCAGGAAAACGTAAACTGGAGGGAGGTGTGGGCTGCATGGAGTTCGACATGGATATGGGCGAGAGCCCATCGAAGTTAGGCCGAGTGGAGGGTAGCTGGTGGGCAATGGAAGATGGTTACACGCCCCCGCTGAGCCAAACGCCGACGTCATATTACGAGATGGAAGTGAGTCCGCCATGCCTGCAGACGAATCCTTGTCAGCCAACATCGGCTAGTTCCCAGCAACAGCAGCAGCAGCAGCAGCAGCAGCAGCAGCAACAGCAACAACAACAGCATCAGTCGTCGCAGCAGCAGCAACAGCAACAACAGTCGTCGACACCAACGTCAGCGCCGCCGGCATCCACGGTGGCCCACCTGCACCATCATCCGCAGCATTATTACCATCATCAACGTGGACCGGGCAGTCCGGTCGGTAACAACGGTTACAGTCAACTCTCGAGACCTCAGCCGCAGTGGGGGGCGCCTCATCATTACGAGCCGCCGACGATACGGCGCGAGGAAAACGGGAAGAGTTATCTGGAGCTCGGCTCGAGTTACCGAGCGAACGAGAGGTGCTGCGAGGGCTCGAGGTCGAGTTGGTGTCGACGCGGCAGAGCCTGTTACAGACAAAGGCGGCTAGCCGTCCTGAACATTTCTATGTGCAAGCTGGCGAGGTATCGCCAGTTCCCAGATCCGAGCCTTCATCGATCGGTTCTCATCTGCAACACGCTCAGGCATCTGGAACGCGAGATGGAGAGGGACAGAAGTCCGCCGCCCATGGAGCCGGTTATACCAGCGCCGATCGCTCAACTCCAACCACCGGAGCAGGGCAGGCTGACGCCGTTTCCAATGCCTCCGACATCGTCGAATGAAACTGACGTCGATTCCGGTATCGGCGACAGCGACGATAGCCGTTCGATCAACTGGGGCAGCGTGCTTTCTCTATCGAGTCAGTCGCCCCTGGACCCATTGAACAACAACGAGCTACTGGACGTCGATATCGGTCCGGACTTAGACTTAGACTTCATGCCTGGATGGAAGCTGACGCCCCTGTCCGCGGACGACATCCTCAGGAGTACGACGGCGCAGGAGCAACACCAGCACCACCAACAGCAGCACCATCAGCATCAACAGCAGCAGCAACACTTAGCGCCGTCTAGCGGCAGCTGTGGCAGCAGCAACGTGGGCAGCGCCTGCGTCAGCACCGGTAGCAGCAGTAGTACGCACGAGTCGTTGATGTGCGTTGGATCATAGCCCCCGATTTTAACATCGTTGAGTCACCTCATCGATTTTTACCCACTGATGCCGCAGAGCAAATAAAAAGCGCGGCTCGAAACAAAAAAAAAAAACTGCAAGTCGAACCGTTGGTTGGCCTCTCTCGAATCCATTGACGCCTGGTTGGCCGACTCTCCAGGAGGTCTTCTTTTTCTTATTTATTACCGTAACGTGTCGGTTGCCCGCCGATCGATTATCTATGGTTACGTTCCAACTACCACCGCCAACCGATACTACCATGGGTCTGCTCCCCGTGGGAGATGGGTACGCGTCGTGACACGCTGCGCTCGCAGGTGCAGACCGTAACGGGGATACGCAACGGCGCATACATTGGAAACGGGGTTTAGAACGCGAGGCAAAGAGGTGATTACAATTTCTAAATCGACGAATACACCATATATCCCGAGCTCGCGTTGTTTTAAACATATACATGCATACTTGACAAAATTATTTGACATTGTCTCTCTATATTCCTGTAGTGTGCCCACGGCAGTGTAGATTGCCAGAAATTGTCCATTGCACGAAAAACAACCAAGTAGATCGAACCAATAAATTAGAATTGTACAGGTTACGTCACAAGTCCAGTTCCCGACGATATCTCAACCTGACTTGCGACGCACCCTGTATAGATTTACTCTGTTATACTACACATGTGTCTTTTCTCCTCTCTTTCATGTACAGTTTAAAAAGTTTCGAAAAACTTATGTTTTAGTTGAAACTCTGCAACGCGAGATCGGGTACTACTTCGGCTTCTCAACGGACACCTCGAACGACTAGGTATACTATATCGCAAACGATGTCTGTTTTTGCAGTTGCACCTGCGAATTCGGCGGCGCACGTTATGAGAGGGTATTCCCCCCCTGGCTCTAAGCTCGGAGTGTCGCCAACCATGGCACGTCAGACTGAGAGAGCGAGAGTGTGTGTGTGTGTGTGAGAGAGAGAAAGAGAAAGACAGAGAACACGAAAAAGTCTCAGAGCTTTCAACGTCCACGCCCCCCGGGCCGGCGATGCGGTAGACGAGTGGCAGGGAGAGCCTTACCTCTCTACGAGTCTTTAAAGCGGTGACTACGCGACAGACCTACGTGTACTCAACGGAAAAAAAAAACTCATCGTGACCCTGTTCGTACGTTTTTTTTTAATGCAAGTATGCGATATCATGGTATCCCTTGCCTAGCCGGCCGACGTTGAGAACTCTACGGCGATGTCTCGGCTAGCGACAGCCAATCAGAAAACGGGAGTGTCCATCGATCGATGGGTTTTCTTTGGGGATTAAGGAAGACATTGAGAAACAGGCGACAATTAATTAACCCTTGATGGTACAAGTACACTCAGAGAAAGAACGGTTAAATTTTTACTATTTAAAATAAATGAAGGTACGTTACGATCCTGTAAACGATTTCTGTCAACACAACCGTCAAGGTTTTTAGAACTTGGACTGCTAAGGGTTAAATGCCATACACTCTGACACACCGATGGTACACTTACACGCATAGAACGTAACCGCCGTGGCCTATACTACACACCCATCATACACACATCCGTACATCATACATACACACACGTACAGTGACACGTTTCGTGCATAGAAAAGTCGATATGGTGCTAGGACGACACACGTCCTGGTGCTCAATTCTGCTCTATACACAGAGCCATGTGCGTACTATTCGCACGGATCGCCTGCAGTCTTCGTCGAGGAGTCTAGATACGTCCTGACGTCGTGAACAGGACACGGGTGTAATCGAACGCCCTTCCATCGAGACGTTCGGCGTAGCTAGACCTCGGACTAACCTAAATAGTCCCTGAATCAGAGTTCGCTAGACGAGCTGGGCTTCTTTCACCGATGAACAATTAGCAGACAACCTGAAAGACAGGTATACACGAGAGTACAATGACGAAATGTTGAATAAGTTGTACAAAGAATGAGGATGTCGAAACAACTGTTTAACACGTTCACTGGCCTCCGTTACGTATGTATGTTTACGTAGATGCAACAAATATTTATTGGTATAGGAAGCTCTGAAATTTCAAGTAGATAAGCAATTTTCATGGCAGGTGAAACACGAGTTCGCCTCATAATAAGGGCAGCGAATGTGTCGAGTAGTCAGTTTTAGAAGAAAAATTTCATTTGCCAGAGATTGAAGGAGATTTGAAGAATAGCGAAATGGAGCTAAAAGGGTAGCCATTGGTGGGTCTATGAGAAGTCCAGGTGGTCTAGCAACGCTGCCCTGAATTCGAGAGCATTTACTAGAGGCTGTATTCAGATTGGGACACGTGATCATGAATGGAAGAGCGTTCGAGGCGAAACCACTCTGTATTCTGGGGCACGACGCCTAACAAATGTACCTGCATTTTAGAGATCGGGATTAATATCGGTCCCTTCGGATCGTCGCGCGAAGGCCACTGTGCGCCACTGATCTCCCGTTAATGTATCATATACACGTGTAAAATAGAGTGGCCGACGGGCATAGAGCGAAGGTGACCGTCACTCGGGGTGTGGAACGAAGAGATTAATTAATTAAACTCGACGGAGAGACGCACTCCGCGAAGAGGAACGGCGATCCGCGCGCGATCTCGTCCTCAACGTCCACTAACCGAACCCAGGAGAGCAGCTATACTTAAATCGAAGTTTAAGCGTTTAAACCGAGTCTAACGCGATAAAGCGATATAATAATTTATAAATCGACTGATTACTTACGCGAGAGAACAAACAGAGATAGGTACAATAACGTTTTGCGACACATGTTGATTTAAACTGTAATTAATTCGATGTGAACACGTTGCGCGCCGGCCAGATCTCGTTGATCGCCTAGGCGCCGGTAGTCTTGTTGCCTGTTGCGACGATTAGGTGTTTATCGTAAAATACCTTGAAAACGTTTTAAATTTTCATCGGTATACAAGAAAATTTCCTATTTCTGTTCTTGTTAAATATTTTTATATGATCAATCAAGCACCAAATGCAATTATTTAATTTCACTTTGCAAACGTTTTAAATCTTTACCAATAATATGCAGTATACATTGTAAAAAAATATGCTATTATGAATTTTTCTTGGAAAATGATGTATGATCAATCAAGCACGAGATAATATTCAACAGAAAATAATATTTGTACCAATACTTTGAATCATGAAACAAAAATGTTTACTTCAATGTTTACTACTGCAATCCATGTAAACAATATTCTAACAGAGTTATTGTTAATTGTTTAAATTGTGTTTTGTTTGGTAAAAAGGATGAATACACAAGAAAACATCGATAACGACTACCCATTCAATTTAAAACGTGTTCTGTGTGGTATGAAAGGGTCCCTATATACAGGGGAATCCCGGCGGTTAAGCGATAGGCTAAAAAGTCCCTTTAGTAACTGCGGGACCGGCGCGCAATGCGTTGAAGCCAGCATGTACACACACGTACATACAAGAACGACACGCTACACTTGCATACAGACATTGTACATGGAACATGCTAGATACTTGTATGTATATAGGTACAAACATATACGTAACAGTCACACGGTACGTGCTAAGTTCATTGATCAAACGTGAACCGTGAATTTTGGCCGATTAACAATTTTCGTTCCTTCGTTTATTGTATCCATGAGTTCGAAATTCTCCAATTTCGCTCAAGTATGATAACCTTTCGTTGTTGCTCTGTCAATTTGATTGTGCGTCGTTTTTTGATATTTTGTGTTACATCCACCGCCCCTCTCATCGATTCGTTCCTCTCGTATTTAATGTAAAACAACGAGCAATATTATGTTTAACATTACGGGGAATTTAAGAATAGATCGAGTTGAAACGACTCCCAAGGTCCATAATATGCCGAGGGAGCTTCTTTGTTATCTGATACGCCATCTGAGTACTTTTGTGACAGTCGTACAGCGCATGTGCAGACAAATTAGCGTCTTTTAGAATTACTTTTGCATTCCAATGTATCATTGCAAAGAAACATCAGGCGGTTATTGAGGGTGTATCGAAGAATAATTAATAGATTTTGTTATAACGACAAATTTATGGTCAAATGTCTAGTCGAGGAGTATGCGATACAGAGAAAACTCTCTCACAGCACCTCTTCGAGTCGTTTCAATGTAGTACCTTATCTACGGCCAAGTGATAACATAAAACATTACAAACACCATACAGAAACACGTACACGCACACAGGGACACGTGCACGAACGAAAACGTTGTGTGAAATTATATATGCGCGCTTGATGCGAATGTCCGGAGCGTTTCAGTAACAAACACCGTTGTTTTCTTGCATGGTATGAAGACGAGCTCTGGCATGAACGTCCAAGACACTTGGCGCACGCGAGTCCTTTAACGTACGCTAGATTGTTAAAAAATTTCGTCCATCGCGTTGGTGCGACTCGCGTGCGCTATGTAGTGTCTCGCGACTGCAGCGCCACCTCATCGGATGAGCTTGGTGTTCCGTGCATAGCAACAAGAGAGATGCGAGCGTCTTCTTTACATTGCATACAAGTGAAAACAAAATACTCATGCCACACGATCGGTATTTCGTTCGAATCGAGCTGGCTGTCAAGCGGAATACCAAGCACGGCGTCGGAACAGGGCGTGGTGGTGTGTTCTCGCCTTTCGTTGAAAGAACAGACACTCGAGGGGACGGGGGGAAAATTATTTCGTACTTTTTACACGAGTGTACCTTTGACGCGTTGAAAACGCGCCCGTAAATACGGTACCGGTGGAGTACCTGCAAATTCGGCCGACTGAGGGCGGACGGGGCGAAAAGAGGCGCGGGGCGAGTTCGTCGGGGTTCATGGCGTGAAAACGTTTGTAACAGAGATGGGCAGATCTTTAATTATAACAAGATTATTAATGTATAATAACACAGAGACAAAGAAATCTCTGTGCAGTGATTTATTCACGATGTTTATTCGAAGGAAGTTATTCGAATAAGCTTTCATTCGTTCACCATAGAATATATGATACGATGATACATTTTATTCGAAATTTATCACGTAGATTAAATTTCTGTCCATCTCTGGTGTGTAACCGTGCGAGGGAACGACGATCGAACATAACGCACGCGCGCTTCGACATTACACCGGCGCGCGTATTAATGTTTAAAGAAAATGAGTGTGCGACGAACACTTCGGGGACTACGATTTAAACGAAAAAAAAAAAAAAAAAATTACCGGGAACGTTGTAAATAGTATAAATAGCGCACGCGCAGAAGTACGTTTAAGCGGAAAATAAAAGATGATATAATAGGTATAATGTGAAGAAAATATACATATAAGATATTATTATATATTATATATATATATATATAAACACAAGAAGTATATATATAAGATTATTATATATATTTACCGTGATAAGTGATAAAAAGCGGCGACGGGGACTCGCATAATCTCGCTGCCATTCGGATAGATGGCGTCAGCGTTTCGCAGGCGGACCACCGGGCCTTTCCCCCACTCAAATTCAGTTCAATGCATGCGCAACCGGCGGAGGTGTATCTCGATCAAACGATATTTGCAACAACTGACCACTCTATTGTCATCCATGCAGCTCTTCCAGAACGTGATTACGTACGCGTTGAATGTAGATAATTACAATCAATGGGACGCGTTTGCGGACTCGCAGCCTATTTTGAAGTTTCCCGCCCTTCTATGCTGGAGCGGTCAGTTGCTTCAAGCGAAGGTTTATCGTATGCAAAGATTAATAACGGTTGTATTTAACGGCACCAGTTTGCGTTTCCACAGTTTTAATATTTTTCAAATAATTTACATATAATTCAAAGTCACCCAGAACCTCGATAATTTTCTTTAATGCTTCATCTTTTTTATTTCTAATTTTTTATGATGGGAATTTATTCTATCTATAAAGGTAATTAATTTTATCTAAAAATACTTGCGATTGAAATCAATAGTGTCACTGGTAGTAGAAAATTGGCGCCAATTGTATGTCGTCAATGATCTTTGTATGTGGTAATCCGGCCTGTGTTTGTGATCGATGTTGGCGACACCGTCTCGCCAGGGTTGTGTTCTTAACTCCTTACGGGACAGAAGTTTGTATACTATTCTCTGATGTACGTTTGCACATGGATTGGAATATGTAGAAGCACGAAATAGAAGGCGCAAACGTATCATCATCGAGTATATTATTATTTACTATTTTATTCTTAAAAGAGAGAATAATGAAAACGTTTCAATTCTATTGTCCTATGAAGAGTTAATCGAATTGGGCTGGCGCGAAGACGTACGATTAAGTTCCTATTACACAATATCTAAACGAGAATTAGTTAGCAATTAACCCGGATTAAACTAATGTGCAACGACTGCCCGAGTGGGCCGCCTCGCGAACGCATAAGCGTCCTCGATTCTTTTTTTTATACGGTTATTATTATTATTATTATTATTATGATTATTATTATTATTATTACTATTATTAATATTGTGGTGTGTGTACCGTGGTCAGAAACATCCTATCTGACTGCGCCATCGTTTAAGATAATCGAGCACTTCTCGCGAACACAACTTAGGACTTTTTTACGTTCTATTAATCTCTTATGCACAATGCCACTGTTTACCGTCTGCGAAAATTCTTCCTTAAGGGCTTCCTTGAAGCTAGCCCACGATCTATCATATTTCTCGTGTCTCACAAATATCTTAGCGGACCTCTTTAACAGACGCTTTGCATATATGATCTTTTGGACACTTGTCTAACGTCTAACTGAATGCGTTAAAGAAAAACGCAGCCAAGCTTATTCTCTGCACACCCACGCATTCATTCATCAATCCCTTAAAAACTAAACAGTCTATGCTGTATCTTGTAACCTAAACACATCCTCGATGGCGCGTCATGGCGCCGATACCTCTTGACGTGTTGTCAACTTCGTCGCTTGACTTTCGACACCACAATATTATTATTATTATTATTACGTTTGTACTAAACACCCGCTGGACGCAAGAATGGTCTTCTTTCGTTCGGCGGGTTCGATGATATTGTCCCAGAAAACAACGAGGACGAGCGAATGTGTTACATATTGGATTGGACGGGAAAGTCTTTTCATTCTTCTAAAAGAGATTAAAATTAAATCGAAAGAAATATTCGTACTTTTTTTTAAATAAAAGAACGCATTAAATTATAGGTTATGTATACGTGCGTAAAATTAATCCTTTATTGCATCATGTGGAAATTAATTAAAAAGAGTTTTTCTTTTTTAAATTTTATTAAAGAGATTGCATAGGATTTGCACGTATTTTCTTATGGAAGTATCTTATTTATTGTTTAAAGCGAATATTAATTCGAGCAATTTTTTTTTTTTTTTTGTGGTGGATAGAGAATATTCATGCAATAGAGGGTTAAAAAGAAACGCGTGATTCACGTAGACTCATCTGTCGATGAAAAGAAGAAGACTCTTCGTCCAATCCAATGGATCGGAACGGTCATCGAGACGAGCGAGTCCCATCGTAACCGCGAACCTAGGACAGGTGGAAAAAACACACGACACTGTACATTGTAAATAGTAGCGCGGAGAAGACGGTTACAGAAAGACAGAGTTAATTAATTAAAAGGAAAAAAAAGATGACGCGAGGAAACGAGGTTGCATCGAAATCGCGCCGGGCGCGTGAAGCGAATGCACGTTCCATAAAGGATCGTCGATTGTACGGGAAATAAGAAACGTTCGAGGCTAGAGATGGGCAAAATTCTTATCTAGATAAAAATTTCGAATAACAAATAACGGGCAAACGATCGTTTATCCGTTATTTATTTAATAAAAATTAGGGTTTAAGTTATAGAACCAAGTACTTCACAATGGGCAATTAAATAATTTTAATGTTCGATCGAATAAGCGTGACGAATAAATTGCTATACGCTGGGTCTTATTCGTTATCTAATATTCGAATAAAATTTTGCCCATCTCTGTTCCAAGCGACGTTGTACAAATTTTTATCCATGTGTGTCGTAGACTGTTCGAAATTACGAAGGCCATAGGCGTAACAACTTATTTGCGAAATAATTTATACGACCGCCATTGGCACGATTGTTCAAAAGACAGATTAGAGTGTAGGAGGTTCTCAAAAAATCCGTGATGTGGCGCTGCCATGCAAGAGAAGCTGTATATCTTCGTCTGGCACCTTTGCCTTTTCTTCTCTATCTTTGTCTTCTTTATATCTTTCGTCTGATCTGTCTTCGTACGAAGGAGAGTCATACAATAATGTTCCCAGAGGATGGTATGAAAAAGAATACAGAGTTCCTTCTGTCTCCTCCTCTGATTTAAGGAATTCGAATCTGTTTTTCATACTCATTCTTATTTTAATCTCTTCCTCTCTGTTTCGCCAGAATGAATTTTTTATCGTTACTGGTCTGTTCTCCCATCTCTCTATTTTTTCTTTTTGTTTATTTCTCTTCCCTCCTATAGAGGGGAATTCCTTCTCGTCTATATTGATGTCCAACTCTTCATTACTTCTATAGCCGAAACCTCTCCTTTCTTCGATACCCAATTCTGCTCTCACTATTTCTCTGGCCTCTATGTATGAAACGTTCTTAAACACCATAACCTTATTTCTGCTTAGAAAATATATTTTCTGGATTCTGTTTTGACTCCAACATCTTCCGTTTCCGGAGGATATTGGCGTCGACCTCTACTTCCATATCTTCTGCTTTCATGTTTCTCAATTTGGGAACTTTCGTTCCTAGGAGAAACCTTTTTTCCCCTATTGTCTGCATTATTTCCCTATGTTTCTCCCTGGTGGTGACCTAACCTCCCCAAGGAGAATTTCATTTTCCTCCTTGTCTGTCTATATTATTCTTGTTTTAGTCTGTACCTTCACCCACTTTCACTTCTCCAAAAATACAAATCCTATTTTACTTTTCCACCGGAATTCTCTTCTACATCACTCCTGCGCGCCCACCCGCCATTTTGAGAGCCGCCACCGGTCCGCTGCCATGTATAATAAGTTGTTACGCCATTGCAGGGCCTCTCAGAAATCTAATGGGGCCCAAGTTATTTGCCTTTCCAAGGCCTCTAGTATGTTAAAGAAATAAGTGTAGGTATATTAAGTGATGTTTTTGGTCCAAAGAGCGATTGTATTATTTTTATTTCCAATCTGCTAGTTGAACTTGTAAGGCTTTGGCTTGAAGAGTCTCCAATTACTACATCGTACATTAGTAAATAATTAGTTTGGACACGTAATTCAAATGAACTATTTACAAGATTCATCCTCATTTTCTTTAACTTCGACTGTGAAAAAATGTAGCAGCCAAACTTCACTCCATTTAGCATCGTCTTCTAGAAATCTTCTTGAGTTCTACCAAGTCAAACGTTATTCGAGACACTATGAAATCGCTTTTTGCACCAAAACTATTAACATTGCCAAACCATAAACTGATCACAAGATCGTAACAATTTCTTAACTGCCTTTTTGTAAAAATTCGGGGCCTCTACAAATGCGGGGCTCAGCTGGCCCACCGTCTATGACTCCTATTAGCTTCACTTCGCCTGAAATCGACGAATCCTGAGAGAGTACGTTCGCAATACGAGCCGTGTGTGCGGCCATTTTAATAGAGCTAGGAAAATTTTAAGATGCACGGTTGTATCTTCGGACGTGTGCCGATCACTCGATTGTAATCCGTATTCGTGTCATAAGGCCGCGTGTAAAAGTAAAACGAAAGAGAAAATAATGAATGAAAAACGAAAAAAATATCCTCGTCGCAAGTACGATACAGTAAAAAAGAAATACTGGATTGTTACTTTGCTCGAGCGTTCCAGCAAAATTTTATTTACGAATGCATAGATGAAAATAGGGAAAAAAGAAAAGAAACACAAACAAACGCGAAGGAAAAGATGCCACGAATCGCAATTACTCTAGTCCTAAGTGGTCCACGAAGCGTATGGTACAACAAGAATACACGGTTCTCGAGTGATTGGACACGTTTAGAATTATCATTTTTTTCGTCCGTTTCATTTTGTTTCGAAGTTGTGACGTTGTATTGCATACCGTTTTACCAAAATACCAACAAGCAGAAAAACAGCAGCAACAGACAACAAAATGGGATTAAACAAATGCATCGCAGAAAAACGATTAACCTGATGAAAAGTAAAAGAATAACGCACGATATGGACAACAACAACAAAAACTATCAAAAACAATAAAGAGTATTATTCTATATATAATAATGGTGTTATGATATTTTACATTCCCCTCCTTCTCGTCGATTAATCATCGTTTTAAGTAATTAATGTAGGTGT